GTCTCACCATCGGGACGATCGTCACCGGCTATCTGAATTTATTCTTTCTTACTTTGCAATTTCCGTAGAAGTTACTGTCACAGTCGCAAGAATCTCCAAAGATCCCATTCATCTAGGGAGTAATAGATGCGGAACAAGTAACTTAGTTGTCTTTAATTAATCCGCTTTGTTCCGAGAAGTGATCCATAAAGCGTTTTGTTCAAGTACCTGCTCGGTACTGTGGGTACTCCAGCGGTAACTCCCCCTCCCTCTATGTAAATGCCTTCATGAAGGTACTATTGTTTTTCCACTTCTATCTGGCCAAATGAGGACTTGCTCAGGGAGGGTCGGGTCAACAACCATTCATTAATTATGGACGTCTTTCGTCTAGGTGCATTCGTCTTTCCCCAGTTTGGTCTCCTTTGTTTACACAGCGTTCATTCGTGGTACTCGTTTCGAATTCAATGCGTCTGACATCAGACTTCCTTCTTAACTCCACTTTTCAGGGTCCAATGCCAGCACTACGCACGTTTTTACTGCTGTGCCTGGTGATGCTCAGCGCTGTACGAGCTGGCACATGGCTATCTTTCAGTGAGAATCTTTCCTTATTTTGTTGCATTGGTGGTTAACTACTGGCCGGAAGTGAGGTAGCAGTAGGCGGCACTGCTGCTCAGTCCCCATGTTTCGGCGTCGGGTTCTGATCGAACCCTATGCGCCAACGAAATCTCCCATTCTACCAGGTGGTTTGTATTAGACATCTACGGGAGGATGGAAATACTGGGTTATATAAGTCGCGCTGAAACACCACGAGCGGATTGTGGATAGAAGTAGAACGCGCAGCGCATACCAAAGAGGTATGGATTCTCACCGAAGACTATTTACCTGAGGCGCCGGTCACCTGCGGCTGCATTTATAGGCCACCAAACTGGGCGTGCGCACTGTGACGCCCGCGGTGCGTCGGTGCCAAGGTCCCGCAACGAAGCTCGCACTCGAGTGTCACAACCCTACAGTTCAGGGCACATCGTTGTTGGGGAATCCCCAACCTGGGAGGAGAAGGTCGTATTTGGCCGCCAGGAGAGGGGGGTCGTATTTGGGCTGAGAAAAATTTATTTTGATAGTTGATTTTTCTCGCTTCACGGACGTTGTAAAAGGGGGGGGTCGTACTTGCTCATTGTTGGGAGGGGGGGGGTCGTACGGACTCGACCAAAATCCCCAACCAGTGATGTGCCCTGCTACAGTTCCCACGCCTTTTCAAGAGGAGAAACTGGCACATTAGTGCAGCTGCGGACCCACAGGGCAGTGACCACGATCTTGGAACTGAAAGTGAAGGTTGTTGTTAAAGCGAGCTCTTTCTCAGCGGGACATCAGCGGAACAGAGCCAACAAATCCTACTGGAAGCTGGGAGCTGGGAACCAGTTTGCTGTTCCTTTCGAGTCCGATAATTACTTCCATAGATTACTAAAAGCTTTGAGAGTTTTTCGAAAAACCGAGAATTGTTCTACGAACAGTTGGAATAATACATTCGGGATTTATAGCGCCAGTCAGCACATTAGGGTGCTGCGTTTGCCATATGAGCGTTGGGTCGGGGAAGCGATTTAGAGCGAGACATTGGACAAACGCAATGTTGAGCTCGAAGAAGACTCGAGAAGGAATCTTGCAGACAACGTTCCCATGGATTCATCCACCCAAGAAGCAGGGCTTCCAGGAACCTGCGCTCTCACTCTCTGGAGGCCAAATAGACTGCATACCCTATCGAGAGTTAATCATAAAGGTCCCAAGGCATGCAACTTGACCGAGTCTAGAGTGTACGGAATGATAGTAAGTCGTGCTCATGCAGAAGACAGGGTAGTCCGTCGCCTGTTACCGGTGCTAAACAAGTTTGATTTGCGGTCCTGTAATAATGCTTTATTTTAATAAATATAACGGCAACCATCGCATCGAGCCCAGTCTATAAAGAAACGAGCGGTAAGAGTTACCACTCGCACTACGCCGCCGCCGCCCAGAGTATCCCTACCAGATTATAATGGGTATGAATAGAGATTATATCATGAGAGCAAATGCTCCGATAATTCCTTAGATTCCAACTTTTTTGTTCCAGATATGACTAAGAGAAAATCCTATGGGAAGTACTCGATCGCAAACATTGGATGATTCTCATCGAGCGCGGCAATGAAGCCAAAGGTAGTTTTCCTTGAATCAAACCGTTACGAAGTACCTTATTTTAAGAGAGGTTGCCAAGATCAAGGATGTGACGAACTTAGCATTGTCATATCCAGTCGATGCTCGCCAGGTTTGCTCATTTACAATACGTATTTTACATCATGTTGCAGAATTACACTATCCAATTTTTACTTCTGCGTCACAAATCCCGGGAATTATTCTCAACTCGGGGGTGAAGTCCAATGGCTCGTTTCCAGGTTTTTCAGGTGTTTTGAAGGACAGGCTCGCCAATAAAATACTGTGAGACCTGGTGATGTATCAAGTAGTTGCAGTAAGCTCTTAGGCTTGGTTTATACTTTTGTACGGCAGCGGTAGCGTAGCACGTAGGCAGGCGTTAGGCGTAGCGTTCCAGCGTATATCGCCAGCGGCAGTGCGAGAGGGATGCATATCGATCTAGCTTCACCAGCGTCACCAGCGGCACGCTAGCGTACGCCAGCGTTTCTCCAGCGTTTCACCAGCGTTTTGCTAGCGTTTGCAGCGGCAGGGGAGTAGAGACTATGGGAGAGCTGGAGGGTACAAAGCACATCGATTGCGCGTATCTCACTCGCCCTTAGTCTCTACAATGCACATCGCTTCTGCGTCTTCGACGGCCATTAGTTTACAATGCACATCGCTTCTGCGTCTTCGACGGCCCCATAGTCTCTACAATGCACATCGCTTCTGCGTCTTCGACGGCCCCATAGTCTCTACAATACACGTCGATTCCGCGTCTCTCACGGCCACATAGTCTCTACTCCCTGCCGCTGCAAGCGCTAGCAAAACGCTGGTGCCGCTGGAGAAACGCTCGAGAAACGCTGGTGAAGCTAGATCGATAGCTATGCTTCCCGTGCCCTCGCTACGCCAGCGTGCGCTAGCGTGCCGCTGGCGTACGCTAGCGTGCCGCTAGCGCACGCTAGCGTACGCCAGCGTGCGCTGCTGGTGAAAGGCTGCCGTGAGCTAAGATTCGATATGCATCCTCTCTTCGGCACTGCCGCTGGCGTACGCTGGAAGCGCTACGCTACGCTGCGCTAAGCTACGCTACGCTGCCGCAAAGTATAAACGCAGCTTGATACAACCGACTTTTTTTTGTAAATCATTACTCAAAACGAAACACAGCCTGGAAGATTAGAGGATGAGCACCATGCCATTCACTACTCGGATAGGCAGCGTCAGGCAAGTATGGGTTCCTTCCAGAACGACGGAGGCTGGGACTTGAAAAGTCGTCGAGCGCCTTTCTGACCTGATCCTTTGTTTCGAACTTTTTTCCGTCCAGATAGCGCTGCAGGTGGCTGAACAGCCAGTAGTCAGAAGGAGCGAGGTCAGGGCTGTAGGGAGGGTGGGCGACCATCAGCCATCCGTACTTCTCCAGCTCGGCCTGGGTCGCCTTTGCAGTGTGAGGTCGGGCGTTGTCATGGTGGAAGTAGATTTCCGCATTCCTTCCACGAGTACGGTCGACGTGATCTTTCAATTTCCGCAGCTGGGTCACGTATGTGGAAGCGTCAATCGTCTGTCCCTTCTCCAGCAGCTCCCAGTACTCCATGCCTCTTCTGGACCACCAACAGGACAGGAGAACCTTTTTGGGGTGAAGGTCGGCCTTTGGGGTGGCTTCTGGCTGTTCTCCTTTGTCGGCCACTGCGCCTCCCTCACAGGGTTATCGTTGTAGAGGACCCATTTCATCTCCAGGTGGATCAATGAGTTTTGAGAAAGTGAAGCCTCTATTGGAAAATGTTGAGGAGAGAAGTGCAGGTGGTCACCCTCCTCGAGAGGTCATAAGCGGACAGTTCATGGGACCCATCGACCAAGCTTTGCTACCTTGCCGAGCTTTTCTGCAGTGCAACATGCAACCGTCAAATTGGATCATAGACTAAGCACGGTCGGCCATTTATTCTGGGTGTGGTTGAGTACGGGTGCCTCTCCACGGCTGGAACGTAAAGTTCCTTCTTGAATTTGATCGCCGAGACCAATGTCTTGATGTATTGGGAAGAGATGACGTCCTCACGGTATGTATCCACCAGCTTGGTAGGGCTTCCTTTGCATTCAGCCGAAATCGTGGAGCAAAACCAAACAGTGGCCCGCAGGTACGTTTTGTCACAGTGCAAATTGTGCGACATTGTGTACTGCAAATGCAAGCTCGGTGAGTGATAGCTAGTGTAATGAAAGAGTATAATGTACACGTCACGCACACGTGATGACGTAATACCAACATCCATGCGAACGAAATAGGAGAGGATCAAAACTCGTTGTATATGAATGGTATCACAACCTAATACAAAGGAGATAAGGTGTCCGCGTTCGCAATGGGCGCTTTAAGTTTTTAAAAATTTCCGCTGGGAAAATACTGCAAGCTTATGAAGTAGGCCCATGTGCCACTTTTGCGGCCCAAAACTTGCCCCGGTTTCGTCCGTAAGTGTGTAGTTGTGCCACGCTACACGTAGCGAAAGACTAGCCATTGCGAGCAAGCAGAAAAGTTTCCGAGAAGAGGGGAATTCAAGCACGATCAGATACTCCCACACTGGTGATGAGCTCATAAAGCTCAAGTATGAAGACTTCAGGTATCGCGAGCAGTACGGATAAGCCGCTAATGTCCCACGCCGTCAATCGACATTGAAGAAAGCCTTCGACTTAGATTTTGTTATGATAACTGCGCCGCACGCTTAAACGCCGCAGTACGCGTTCCGAATGTTATCCAAGAATGTAGAGTTTGTGTGCCAGAACTCGTGCCCAGGCGGCGTTTCGATCACCGCCTGGGGCACGAGTTGTGCCCACAACTCAAGCAGTCGTGTGGATTAGCTTCGACTCCGTGCAGACAGAAGCCGGTGTATCGAACCCATGGGCAACCCAGGTTATCTTACTCAAGTTACATCAGGATATCTTCGTGAGCTGTACTGAACTGCAAAAAAACTGCACCAAATCGACGATACTATCACTTCTACAAGAGAGATCGATCATTGCATGTGAAGCGAGAGGTCGACAGGGCACATCATCTTGCCAAGCTCTTCGAGCGGGCCTCTCTCTGAGACGTCATGCAGCCAACTGGAATGGGAACAATGGAGGTGGAAGATCGGAACGGTGTCAGCTTACACCATCTCCGCTTTGCTGACGACATCGTTTTGATAACACCAAACATCGAGCAAGCGGAACGAATGCTGGCTGAATTCGACTGCGCGTGTGGAAGAATCGGTCTACGGCTGAATCTAACGAAGACGATGTTTATGAGCGGATTGGTTTCTGATGCCCCATTCACGCTCAACGGAGACGGGACATTCTTGAATGCATCGTAGCTATGTGTACTTAGATCGTGAAATCAATATGATGAATGACTTAGCTCCAGAGCTGAGCAGGAGGAAGCGAGCGGCTTGGGGAGCCTTCAAGAACATCGAGGGAGTAGCGAAGAAGACGAAGAACACTAAGCTCCGTGCCCACCTCTTCGATTCCGCGGTCCTTCCGACCTTGACGTATGCCTCAGAGACTTGGACTCTAGCGAAAGCATGATGCATGCGTTGGCGTTATTCAACGCGCCATCGAAAGGGCGATGCTCGGAGTTTCCCGCTACACGCAAGTGAGAGAGGGAATCCGGAGCTCCGCACTCCGCCAACGATCGAAGATCAGAGACGCCGCCGCATTTGCCAAGGTTTCGAAGATCAGGTGGGCCGGACACGTCATGCGTTTCGAGGACGACCGCTGGACCAGAGCGCAGTCACCGACTGATTACCGACGGGATCAGTCAACGCTGAACGCCTGGACGACCGCCTATGCGATGGTCAGACTTCTTCGTGAAAGCTCTGAACGAACGCTATGAAGTTCATCGTGTCCCCGAGCTGAGAGAACCCCATGGATACCAACACTGCCACGTCTGCAGGGCAAATAGGAGACAATTACTGGCGCGCCGCTCGAGGAATCGATGTCACGCGCGGAGACAGAGTGATCAACGGGAGCACAGGTGATACATTTCTAACACTTTTCGGCTGATCTGAGGGGGCATTTTGTCAATTCCCGCCAAAATATCGGCCAATAATTCGAAACAGCTGACGCTTATGAACCCGTCTCTTCTTTCTAAGCCAGGGTTCCACTTTTCGTCAAGAGCTTAAAGGCATGAAGCACGATAATTCGGTCTAATACATTAGCAGGGGTGCTATATAGTGAGGAAAATGACGAAAAGGTGAAAAACCTACAGAAAAAGCCTTTGTTCAACACGGGCCGGCGACCCGCGGTGGGCGTCGGAGTCGGTATGTTGCAGCTTTATAGGGCGCTCGCAATAGGGTACCTTTTGGGAAGGGCGCCACCGCAGCGTCTGCCCAGGGACGCCGACTTCTGTCCTTCCATGCGCATTAATCCTACACGTCTTGAGGATCTATGGTGCTACTTGCCTTCGAAGAATGGCCTGCAATAGCCTGCAACATGATCAAATCAATGCTATATGCTGTGAATGCTGCATAAAAAACAGCACGCCAAAACCGCCAAAAATTATCCTAGCGGGTTTGTTTCAAGCCTAAGGCTGCGTTCATACCGTGCGACGTCGTCGTCAACGTCGACGTAACCGACGTTTTCGACGACTAGTTCGTGAAGATTATATACGTATCGATCCGACGAATGCTGCGTAACCGACTTCTTCGCGAAGATCAGACACGTATTGATTCGTATCGTTACGCAGCTTTCGTTGGGTCGATACGTATATAATCTTCGTGAAATAGTCGCAGAAAACGTCGGTTACGTCGACGTTGACGACGACGTCGCACGGTATGAACGCAGCCTAAGAGTGCGAGCTAAATCGTATCATAATCACAGGAAACCTTATGATATATGAGTACATTGCACATTTCGTGAATAATAATTGAACACTTCAGCAGCAACGATTGAAACGGGCTGGGTTCCGTACGCTTACCCGAGCTGAACGGGAGAACAGTGACATGTGCCGATTTCTTCTACGAATGGTAAGGAGTCTATTTTATTAATTATTTGCTCTTCTATTTTATTCGTTCTGTTGATTGACAGAAACTCGTTTTACATTTTTTGGATTGGATTGATACTAAGCAATGTATGCCACATGTCACAGATTTGCGTGATTTCAGGGACGTTCCGCATGAATTGGATCATCGCATCAGTTGTAGAACAAATGGATCCACTTAATCGCGAGACTCTCCCGTTTTATGCTGTTTTGAGCACGAGCTGTTCCAGTTCTCATGAGCCACCCATCACATTCCTATTAAGATATACTGTACCGCTATGAGTGATGAAGCCGAGATATTGCCTCTACGACATACACTTGACTAGATTTGAGGTTGTGCATGTCCATAAGAAAAATGTGAATATCAGATCTCTTCAAAAATTTTACGGATAAATTCTCGGTGTTGTTCAGTCGTTCATACTACAACTTTTTTACGTTGGTAAAATATCGAGGCTAAGGCCGTTTGAAGGGACGGTCTGAGATGGTATATGAAAATGCGAAAGATTGAGTGGGAAGGGTAGTGTGGTCCGCAATGGACAACCGTCGTGCCAGCTTTGTAGCGGAACGTTGGTTGGTAGAGACACAAAGTTGCTCCAGCTCCAGCTCCCTTTTGCCGGTGACTTCGCCTTCAGACTCCACCTTCCAGCCAAGAATGATTCTACTCGACAAGTAGCATGGTAGCATGAAAGGATGCTCTGCTATTTCTCTCCGGTGTCAAAGGGTTCATCAGTATGGCCTGATCAGCTCGCTGGGCTCATGCGTAACAGGCGGCCTTTCAGCCCTTTTATACAGTGCGTAACAAAAGTATGTGGACACCTCAAATTTTGATTTTGCGAAGTTGCCTTTGGATTTTGCGATCTGAGACCATCACTGTTAGATTCCTCATAAGCGAAAGTATAGGAATGCACTACTTCTGAATACATTGTGAACTACTGTACAATTATTTATTGTTTTGAAAAAATTTCTTAATAACAAAAGTATGTGGACACCTGAGAAAGTTCAAAGTTTGACTCCAAATCTGCAACCCATATCTATCGTCTCTGCTCCCCATTAATCTGTACTCATGCCTCGTCGTGGCAGTACTCTCTCCGAAGACGAACAATCTCAGATTCGAGCTCTCAGTGCTGCTGGACACTCAAATAGAGAAATTGCAAGACAGCTCGGACGTTCGGCGACGTGCGTTGGTAAATACCTCCAGAATCCTGATGGCTACCATTCAGCACATATTTCGGGGCGTCCTCGATCTTTGTCCGCAAAAGACATCAGAAGAATAAGCACGGGTCGCCTCAATTGATCTTCCCCGCTTTCTGGTGAGACAGATCCATGCTGGGCCAATTAACTACCGGTCCTTAAAACAATGACGACTTGGCGCCTATATTTCGATCAAATGAGCATATCACACGAGAGACCATGAAGAAAGCTCCTCGCCTGACTGCCCAACACCAACTGGCGAGACTGAACTTCGCGCGTGCAAACATGGCGACGTCGTGGGACAAGGCGAAGTTTTTCGAGAAATTTGTAAAATCGGGAAAGGGTCAACATCGCCATGCCGCCTTTTCTTCTTAAGGTTAGTCTTCACCGCGATGCAAAAAAGACGCCGATCTGGACGGTCCAGATAGACATAGCAGCACTACTGGAAAAGACCTTCGTCGTGATCCCATTGCTGCTTCCTCTAGGCATAAATTTCAGACCCGCTCTTTGATGGTGTGGGTGTAGTTTGGAACCAGCGGAAAGTTAGAGCTCGCCTTCCCATCGTGCCGTATGAACAGTCAGGAATATCAAGGAGTGCTCGAATCCAACCTCTTGCCTTTTCTGAGTGGGCCACGACCCAGGACACATGTGCTGCAGCAGGACAACGCCGCCGTGCATGTTTCAAATTCTACTATAAAATGGCTCCAACGAATGGTATCAAAGTGATGGATTGGCCGGCATTTCTCCTTACTGCAACCCAATCGAAAACCTATGGGGAATTATGGTTTGACGAATTTACATGAACAATCGGCAGTACAACAGCGTGCGAGACCTCAAGGAGGCGGTAGTGGCTGCATGTGAGGAAATCGACGAAGACATTATCACAAATTGTCCAGCAGCATGCAGACAGAAATGTTCGAAGTAAATTAGTGACGCGCCCTGGAGGAGCAGCCACCAAGTTTCTACATTCTTCCTTATACTTTTGTTTTTTTGTTAAGTGTCCACATACTTTTGTTATTAAGAAATTTTTTCAAAACAATAAATCATTGCTCAATAGTTCACAATGTGCTCGTAGGTAGTGCATTCCTATACTTTCGCTTATGAGGAATTTAACAGTGATGGTCTCAGATCGCAATATCCAAAGGCAGTTTCGCAAAATCAAAATTTGGGGTGTCCACATACTTTTGTTACGCACTGTATTCGTACATTTGATTGAGGCCGAAGAGGCACTTTTAAAGACTCTCTTCAGCAATTTCTCTTCATAGACAAGTCAGTTGACAACTTTCCGTCCATATTCCAACACCATTAGCTACGCACCTTGAACACGGACCCTGTCGTCAAAGACATAACTAACGCAGGGTGGTGCAGGCGAGATGGTTCAGAGGAACACCACAAAAGTTTAGCTACATCTCAAGAGGACAACAACGGGTATAGCTATATTCCAAGAGAAGTGGGGCGAAGGCCCAGATGAAAGCAAGGCAGGAACGTCTACTTCATATCTCTGAAACCTAATTTGCGTGACTGCTTCCCCATTCGAACATGGCCTTCAGAGGTTATTCGTGGGTATATCAGTGGGCAACAGCATACTGCTGTCGTTACCACACTTTAAGGAACAACGATAAGAAGACCTTAGTTTTCTATATCTATGATTGGTAAAATTGGTAAGAAAAGCGTCCCTCTCCAATGAACAATTCGATACGTTTCTAACCAATCGCTTTGGCGCGCTAGAAAAGACCACTCTTGATCGAGCTCTCCGCCAAGCCGCTGAACAAAATGAAACAAGTATCATTCTGTGGCGTCTCACATCCCACGAAACTGTATCATTGCCGTACCACTAACAAGCTCACATAAATACAATTGATATCACCGCAACCAGTCGGGTCCTAATCGGGGGTCGCGACCTGCGGCATTGCCACCTTTGGTTGTTTCCTCCTGAATTGATCACTTCTCGATTGCCACTGATAAAGCAAGGCAGCCGCAGGCCGGCTCGAACCGCGCTGCGCTCGCTGGCCCGACAAATTGCAATGTTACAAACTATTCAGTTGCTGAATCGTCGCAATTCAGTGAGACGTTGTCAGGAGGCATGAAACGAGCCCAGAGACGGCGCTTACTGCCACTAGTTGTCACCTATCTGAACCGTCCACTGCTGGTAGAAAACGCAACGGTGGGCGGCATCGCTCCCTTGCGTCCAGGCAACTGAGATTGCCCATTGTAAAGGTTCCTCTATCAACATCACCGATGTTTGTGTAGATTAAGCAAATGAAAACTAACTCGGCGACCATGTTTGTTACGATAGGCCTATAAAGAGCTTTTTTGTATAGCATAATCACTTTTCTTCCTTCTACATTGCGGAAGAGGGCGACTTCGTAAAGAGGGAGGGAGGGGGGGGGGAAGCGACTGGACAGTGTGAGGCGTGTCCGTGATTACGCGGTAGCTCCACCGTAACTGGAACAGTGTGAGGCTGTGTTCGTGATTCGCGGTAGCGTCCACCGGCGACCACCAGCGTTTCGAGCGTTCCTCAGCCTTAGCGACTATGAAAGTATAATCGATCTAGGTAACGACAGCGTCCACCAGCCTCTACCAGCGTCAGAAGTGAAGAGTGTGGAGACGTATGAGGGTAGCAGACTGCTGGAGGTGGATGGGGAAGTAGGAGGGAGCACAGCTGAACTAGGAGTCGTGAAATTGCGGCATGTGCAATGGCACCGTACTACTACCCAATACCACACATTATGCTGTATAAGTCTGTGTTTTACACAGGTTTCGTGCAGTTGCACGGTGCGGTTACACACGCCCCGATTTCACGTAATACACCTGTCTGCTCCCTTTTACTTTCTCATACACTTCCAGCAGTCTGCTACCCTTATACGTCCCCACACTCTTCACTTTTGATGCAGCAGGACGCAGCCGTTCGCTACATCGATTTCTATGTTTCCCTAGTCGCTGGCGCTGATAAGCGCTCGAAACACTGATGTCTCTGGTGGACGCTGCCGCAAAGTATGTATGCGGGCTGATTAGCTCCCAGTGCTGGATAACATCTCATATCAACTTTTCACTGGACCAACCCATATTTATGATAGCAGATACACACGGAAATAGAAAGAAAATTATTGACCAAGAACAGGGAGGATGTGGCTCATGGAAACCGTGATACACCATGATTGTCACATGGTCACATGAGAAAAAAGTGTCTGACTGCGCATGAGTGTCATGCGATCCGCAGTGTGCTAACCATTAGGTTAGAAGTTATTTATTTGGCGAATTCAACTATAGCGTTGAAACAAAAGTTACATTCATGAGCTATACGAACATTTTTTATCACAAAAACTCATTTTGAATAAAGTGAACGATATTATATAGCACTTACAAATTAAGTTAGCCACCCGTAGCTTAGTAAATAGTGAAGTAAGAATTTGTAAAGTGAGTCATGAATGAATTGCACAGGTCACAACCAAGTGAATGATAAGACAATTATGCTAACAGGAAACTCAGAAATGTAGGTCAAAAACAGGAAATCATGAAAGACATATCACATTTAAGTGCTGAGCAACTAGCTGTACAAAATGCAGAATGTATGTGAAAGTAGTGAAAGTGGCAGAGAACCATTAGGAGGAATACAGCTTAAAGCGCATAGGTAAACTACCAAAAGAAACCACGAAGTTAAGAAATTCTGCAACAGGAAGCCAAGTTCGCAATGACCCATTCTGCGGAGGGGGGAGGCATATCAGAGTTGGTGATAGGGATGAGGCGCGTCCCACTCTAGGAATTTCCAGCGATGGGCATCAATTGGTCTCTGAAGGAAGGAAGAGGGGGTGGGGGTAGTCGATGCTTTCGAGAAAAATCTTGGTTGTTGACTTCGTCACCAGTCTCGTCTGTTTCAAGTACGCTATGTACCCTCCTCGTCGGCAACTATTCGGGGAAAAGTAGATTGGGGAAATTCTCGGAAAAAAAAACTCCGGAACAGTTATAAGAAGTTGGGAATATCCAGGAAGATGGCTGGTAGGATGAGAGATGGGAAAATAGGGGAAAATTCGTCGGGGGCTTTTGCATTTTGCAGAGGTTTTCTCGACGGCAAGACGCGCTCTAAATAGGGATCTGTTGTGATATACTAGGATGTTGGAATTTTGGGGAATGATAGAGGCTTTACGGTGTCCGCTATGCTTGCACCCTCGATCGAGGAGTTGGTAAAGTTGAACTGTGACGAGTTCAGGGAATCGTGAGTAAAGCTGGACCTTGCCTAGTTGAAGGGGGTCAAGCTTAATTACCTATATCACCGTGGCTTTGGACAGTGATACTAAAGCTTTAGTAGATACTGGTCAACTGAACCACTAGGAGAACAGGTCTTCCATGTAGCTAAATGGTAGCAGGTTCATCTATATGTCTTCGTATACATCACGTAGTTGACTAATCTTAAGTCAAAAAACCATCAGTACTTGATGCAAGTTGGAAGTAAATAACTATAACAAAACATAAAACCAGGTCTATTAACGTGCAGAACACTCGAACTAGAAATACATTATTCGTCGTGCTTCCCATCACAAAAAGATTCCGTGAGAGCCGTCACAAAATCAAGTACTGCTATTGTGTGCTAGTGTGAGTAGTGCTTCTGCCGCAGTGATGAAACTCAACTACTCGAAACCTTCTGCCAGTCGCTTCATCTCATCTCTTAAGCGCTTCATTCTTTCGAGATCCGCTTGTGTCTTCTGGCCATGGGAGCGTAACGATTCCAGCTAAAAAAAAACTATTTGCTGGCATTCCTAGAAAAAATACAATTGTTCTAAACAGCGAACCGTTAGCCAATGTTTTTATAAAGTCAAAACATTCAACACAGTCTGCACTTCACTGCCCCAATCATTCAACACAATTGTGCTTCACTGCTCGCTCATCGAACTCCACGCCAAATTTCGATAGTAATTTTTCCTCGTGTGTATTTTAAGCTAGATTTTTTTCAGGGCTGGCTGTACACGAATGATAGCCCGGTCGGCTCAAGACCGTCTCGCGTTAGAACACTTCGAAACACTGCACTTGTTGAAAACTTATCGTCAGGTGTATTATGAGTTATATGCTCGGATGTCACACCTGGCCTCCGCTGGTGTGGACGCCAGACTTTTCCTTTAACCCGGATAATTTGGATTAAAGGAATCGAACTACCTCCGAACGCTAAGTTTCGACCGAATCTCGTGAGCTTCAGAAGAGAAACTGCGATCTTAATCTAGCCTGAATGTCAAAGATTGTGATAGTAAAGTGTAAGTAGTGATAGAGGCGCAAATCGAGGAGGAGGCGTTTAGCACTCCTGCTCGATTGCTTCCGTTTTCGTGTTGATCCATCGAAAAGAAGTTCGTGAAATCCCGTGAAGCCACGAAGTGATACCAGGTGGAAACTACTTGCCGATTTTTGTAAGGATCGGATACTGTTTCGATCGCTGCGTACGACACCCGCTTGCAACGGCTATTTCGCCGCATCTGCCGCGACTCGATAGTAATGCTACACCTCCGCTTAGTTATGATTACCTGAAGTGGCACCCGATGCGACACCCCACTCATATAATTTCAGAAAGAAGGTGAGGTGGATACATCCCACATCAGCCAACAAGGGATACAGGTATGCGTTTTTTCTTTCAGTACGCTCAAAGATCACTTCTTAGCCAACACGAATATGCAAAAGTCAATACCTCTTTCGTATGGCGCTCACATTCCTGCTCTTTTGCCGCCATCGTCGCCTGCATTGCTTCAGCCTAAAGAACTTAATAAATGTGTAATACTGTACAACCGACTCTCTGATGAAGCAACTAGCCGGCTACTGGGCTCACTATTGAGGTTTAGTACTTGTAACCATGTATGACCTTTTCATAATTTGTCAAACAAACTGTCCAAGGGTTGTCGTAAAAAAATGCTGGAAGGTGACAATTTCTCAACGGCTGCGAAATTACTAGCTCATTTCGAATTCATGAAAAGAAATATCATGACTGTAATTGATAGCGGTGACAACCTAAGCAATTCAATCTACATAATATGAAATCATTGGAATAACTAATGGAGCAAATGCCCTTTACTGGGGAGTAGAAGTTTCAAAAAACTCCCATTCACAAGTATTAACAAATCTTTTCCCACATACCTCGCGAGATAATTTGTCTATGGTGTCGTTCCGAAGAGAAATGTCGGAGTTTAATCTTTTCACCTCCATTACATGTGTTTCGTGAAGGGCAGCTAGATCTGCACTCGCTTCTGAAATACGAGGGCACATTGAAAATAGAAAGAAAATATGAAGAAATTGTGACTTTCTTGGAATTAACAGGGGTACAATTTTCTCCTTGTACAAAAGGCTCACAGTCGCAAAGAATGTACTACGCGAGCCACTCTGACAAAACGTGCAAAGGGGTTTGGAGCCTGTTCTAGTCCACACCCGCTTACTTCGGAACACTCCCAAAATACTAAAAGTCGCTGTGCAACAATAGAGGCTCGCGAGCAAGAGCGACAGGATGAAAATCAACAGAGATTTTTGTAATAAGAGTGGAAATAATATATGAAATGGAACAGACGATCTATCCAACCGCTCAGTTTC